GAAACCCGGAAGGTGCATAACAGTACATGCACTTTATGACTTCCGACTGACGAAGGCGAGCCTCCGCCTAACGGATCCCCAAACTGCAGCCAGTGTTGAGGAACCTGGAATAATTAACGCTACAGAGTGAGCACCTATACTGGCACGAACAACCGCATAAACTGCTTTCGCCGACAGAGATCCCATATTCCGTTGTGTCGCGCTCATGCTCCAGTCCTCAACTCACCCACTGGAACATTTGCTAACAGTTTAAACCGCCATGGCGATTTTATTAGTCACTGTTTAAGTACTAAGAGAGCTCTGCGTCTCTGTAAGAACACGAGATATTAAAACAAAAGGAGAAACACAGATGAGATGTTATGAACCACTAGTAACATTTGTTTTACTTTTCTTATATGGCTCTACAGCCCTGAGTTGGACCTTTGCCGCTTTTTCAGTTTCCTGATCTTTTAGACAGTCGGTAGGCCTCTTTGGACGGGGGATCAGCCGTTGCAAGGCCGGTACCTGCACGCACAGGACAGCACAAAGATCCACGCCTCAAGTGGGATTCGAATACACGATTCCAGTGTTTGAGCGGGCGAAGGCAATTCATGTCTTAGACCGCGCGGCCGGCCACTGTGATCAGCACTTGCTTTACTACACGAGGCCGAAATATGGCCAATTAGCGCAAGAGACGTACGTGGAACGCATTCAGTGCAGATGAATTACATATGGGCAATTGAAGGGTGGGTTAGTCAAGGAGGTCTGGCAGTTTTAAACTGACGAAGCACATTCAGAAAACATTTTGCTGCAAGTTGTTTATAGCGGGCAATCGTCGTAACCTGCTGCAGCTCCTTAGCAGATTCGCAATTTGATCCCAGATCATGTTTCGCGGTAGGAACAATGGGAGAAGTCACACAGAGCCAGGTCTGATGAAGGTGAGAATAAAAGGTAAAGCTATCCCTGTAACAGGGTGTGGAGGCCCAAAGGATTGTGAGACGTCAAGGCTCCCACATTCTCTAGACAAACGGCTCACAGATGGCGGTGAGGTTGTCAGCCTTACGCGCCGGCCACCCTTAACTCCCAGGAAGAAGTCTGGTACTCAGTTCTGTTGGAGGCTGAGTCGGCCCCAGGTCCATAGCGCGGCTGGAAAGATTAGGTGAAATGAAATATCCAATGGCCTCATCGGAAATCGAACCCACGACCTTCCGGCTTGTATCATAGTGCCTCACCCAACTAAGTCTTGTGATGAAGCAAAGACCGCGATCATCTTTTTGCGCCAAATGTTGATGCAAAGCGTCATGTAGGATCCACGTGTCGGGCGGGGACCAGTGGCGGGCCTGAAGATTGTTTTCCGGGATCTCTTAACAGTTTCAGTAAGGGAGCAAATTTAGACGTAAGACGGAGGCCCGGTACTCTGGCTGCTGAGGTACGCGCAACTGTCGCCCCCTTGGTTACAAACTGTGGGAGCTCTCCTCTGTGGTAGGCACACGTCACAATAGTTAATCAGAAAAAATTGGAGCAATTATATTCCAGCGTTAATGTGGACACTGTCATCGCAAAACACTGAGCACTGTACAGCGCTCTCATTTTTAAAATGTAAACATTTTGCACAGAGGTGATTGTTTATAAATATTCATATTATAGCGTGTAGAGCCGTTACTTGGTAACGACCTCCAAACAACATTCCCTGCTATGCAACGGATTCTTAATAACCAAGTAAACCCAGCCGTTACTGGATAACCTCTTCGCAAACAAACACGTTCCCACGGAAACCATTGGAGTAAAACAATGAGACTTGTATTCTATGAGGTTCGTGCCGATATTTTATAACCTAGACAAGATGAGAATTTAGTGAGTCGTAGCAGTTAGTTGTAACGTAGTCTCTGAAAAAAAGACTTGAGCGGTTCGGTTGAAGAATCTTCGTCATTAGAAGTCGTTACCAGGAAACGACTGATGAAGCCACAGCAGACTGAAAAGATTTAGCGTGTCCTGAAAAATGTTGAAATTAGCGATAGTGTTAGTTATTTATAGTTACAACCTGTAAGTGGTCACTAAATCCAATCTCCAACCCAAAACCCCGTCGAGAGTCACACAAACACGTGATAGTATATATATATATATATTAGAGGAAACGGTTGCACATTCTTTTCAGAAAATAAATCTGGGTTGAAGGGGGGGGGGTATGGAAACGAAAAGCGGTTCTCATATCAGGCGATACATCACACATTCAGTAGACAACCAATGAGATATTCAGTATTCATTCATTTAATATTTCCTGTTGCTCCATCTGTAGCACAGGGCAGTGGTTTTCAACCTTTATGAGACCGCGGTCCAGTAAGTTCTTTTTTTATAAGACGAGGGCCCAGTCCCAACAAATTTACTCGTAAATACCTTTCCAGCTTTGTTAAAGTTCATGCATTAAGTTAACGTAATATTAGTAATTAATTATATCATAATCATAAAGAGTATTTGTACACTTATGTATACAGTGTGGCATGTTGACAAACATAAAATTACATTTAAATTAGTTATCAATCACTGGACTAATGAAATCTTGTAGCATTTTGTAGTCTCCTCAGAGCAACATCATTAAATTAATTTGTGCTAATTTTCATCGACTTATCCCATGCTGATCACCAAAAACTTATGTTATTCAGCGTAAAATTGATTATTGTATTATTAAATTGATTTTAATGATGTTGGTTTGAAAAAAATTGCAGTGAGAAAAATATTTATGCATTTTAACTCACCATAGAAGTCAGCTGAGTAGGGGAAGAAGCAGAAGGATGTCAACTTGCCGGCGAAACACTTATTATCACATATACACACCAAATAATTATATATGTAAAGTATGTAATTTGATAAATAAAAATGTATGAATCTCTCAATTCTAAACACTTCCAACACTAATTAATATTTTGATTTTAAAGACGCAGCACTTTAACACAGCAATTATAAGTTATTGGAAAGTTAAACTTAGTTTCTTTTATCACAACTGAATTTGGAAGGTTTTAGTTAGGCTAGTGAGACTTCTGTTTCTGTTTTCCATCCGTTAGCTTATTAATTCTGAGATGAATTGAAGTGAGAACTAAACGGAGACAGTCAGAAAGTTTCAGGCAGTTCCTCTGTTTCGTTTTAAGCACAGTCATGGCAGAAAATNCTCCTCAGAGCAACATCATTAAATTAATTTGTGCTAATTTTCATCGACTTATCCCATGCTGATCACCAAAAACTTATGTTATTCAGCGTAAAATTGATTATTGTATTATTAAATTGATTTTAATGATGTTGGTTTGAAAAAAATTGCAGTGAGAAAAATATTTATGCATTTTAACTCACCATAGAAGTCAGCTGAGTAGGGGAAGAAGCAGAAGGATGTCAACTTGCCGGCGAAACACTTATTATCACATATACACACCAAATAATTATATATGTAAAGTATGTAATTTGATAAATAAAAATGTATGAATCTCTCAATTCTAAACACTTCCAACACTAATTAATATTTTGATTTTAAAGACGCAGCACTTTAACACAGCAATTATAAGTTATTGGAAAGTTAAACTTAGTTTCTTTTATCACAACTGAATTTGGAAGGTTTTAGTTAGGCTAGTGAGACTTCTGTTTCTGTTTTCCATCCGTTAGCTTATTAATTCTGAGATGAATTGAAGTGAGAACTAAACGGAGACAGTCAGAAAGTTTCAGGCAGTTCCTCTGTTTCGTTTTAAGCACAGTCATGGCAGAAAATGCAGTTTCACAGAGATATGTGGTGGAAAAAAAAAGAAGAAACCTCACTGCTATTTCATGTAAATTTGGATATTCATTTTTCATTCTTATCCAGAATTTTGAATTACTCGTAGTATTAAAAGTACTTTCCAGTCCTTTGTCCGATGATAATTCAAATAAGTTGAAGGGTTTCTTCATGGGAAAGGCTGTCACTTTGTGTTCAACAAAAGGTTTCACAATCCACATATTTTGCCTCTGGGGATCCTCATGTTCGGGAAAATATTTTTCAAACGACAACATCATCATCTTCAAATGGGCTGCAATAATATCTGAAACTGAATTCTGTGAATAGAGATCATCTGCTTCCATAATATAATCTGAGCACGACTGAAACATTTCATTGTTTCCTTCTGCAATCATATTAAGCCAGAGTCTGAGTTTCTTTTTGAATGATTCGATCTTGTTCCACTCATTAAATATTATTGTATCTGGACCTTGAAATTTTAAATTCAACTCGTTCATGTAAGAAAATATGTCGCTGAGATACGCCAGCCTGGCTACCCATTTCTTATCCTGGAAATAATGGGAGAGATTACTTTTCTTATCAATTAGAAAGAGCTCGACTTCCTTTTGGAGTTCAAATAACCTCTTGAGAACTTGATTGCGGGACAACCAACGAACTTCCGAATGGAAAAGAAGATTTTGATGATCAGAGCCCATTTCATCGCACAATGCTTTTAACAGTCTTGTATTTAAAGTACTGTTTTTTATATAATTAATAATCTTAACAGATTGAGACAGAACTTCATTAAGCTCAGGTGCCATTTGTTTTGGAGGCCAGGTTTTGCCTATGAATGTAGCAATGCGTTGACACTAAAGTTATTGCCCACCATATCCTTAATTTTAGTGACACGGATACAGACTGCATTGATCTTCAATTTCAATGGAAACATTTTCTTTATATTTCCTTGTTGATTGGTCACTGACATTTGCAACATAGATGTTATTTTGCTCTGTTCTGAGAACAGAGGATATGCCGCCCATTTTTGTAATCGGCTTGCAGGCAATTTTTATGACTGGTCATAAACATCGGTATTGCCTTTCCCGAATGTTGAAAGTATTGGATGTCTGAAAATTCCGGATCATTCATGAATGCTTCCATGTTTAAAATATGTGGCTTGGTCACTAACATTTGTTACACAGATTTAGGTGTTCTGTGTCTGAGTTTCTCGACACAAATATTATTCTCCTCAGAATATTTCCACTATAAAATATTTATTCATGAAAAATGCATAGAAAATGAAAATGACAAAATTCCAGAACAGCCTCTCGCGGCCCAGTATAATTGATGCCAGGGCCCACTACAGGGCCGCGGCCCGGAGGTGGAGAAGCACTGGCATAGAGCATATGTGAAACGCTTTACTTCTCTCCAGTTTCATAATCTCATAGTCAGCCAGTTGATAGGATTGCTAGGACGGTGGATCAGCCCGGCGTAAGACCACTACCTACAAAAGAAAACACATTATGAGAGCAAACACAGTCAGCTGTCTGCGACTTCTTACTGCATACACATGTATCCGCAGCTTCCCTCCATGCTCTTCAAATTCAATAAAAAATAAAATCAACCAGATCACATTTTTTCAGTTACAATTTTTTTATTTCCTAGGATCTACAGCCCCACTGGGCCTAGGCCTACCTCCATCAACTTCTCAATTTCCTTCGATTGCTCTAGATCTTACACATTCGGTAGGAATCTTTGGGAGGGTGATCAGCTCATCGGAAGGTCCCAAATTGTATACAAACACAGATAAATGCACAAGACCAAAATAAACATATATGCCTTGCGTGGGATTCGAACCAATAATTCCGGTTTCCAAGCGATGGAACACAGTACATGTCTCAGACCACTCGGCTACTCTGACGGCCCCTTATCTTACATTACTAAGGAAAAATTTCATGCTATGGGAATAGTGAATATTTTTATTTCCTGTGGCCAATGAAACCCCATGCTTACAAACTAAGAATAATGATACCTGCATGGATGGCAAACTAGGAAGGCAATCAGGCAGGCTCAAACAAGAAGCTACAAGCAGGATGAAACAGACAGGCATAGATCACTTGAAGAAAAACACATCTTCAACACAACCACATGCACATTAAAACCAAAATTTAATAGGTTGAAAAAAATTCTAAAAGCAGACTACAACTAATATAACTCATACAAAGTACTCTCCTGCTGTACAACTTACCTCAAAATTCATGGTATGGTGTGGTGGTTCCATTTCCACTGTCATTATGACACACTTGTGCTATGCAACGTGAGCAGTACTAGATGCATTTTCCTCAAATTTGTACAAACACGACACATCACTGAAGCATTTGCATGTCCATTATGAGATCTGTTTCATTGCAATTCAGTTCATAAAAGGGTGATGCGAAGCATCCAAAGCAGCAAATTCCTTAGAGGTTTTCTAATTCTCCTAAATTTTACCTGAGGAAAAAAATCAGTCTCTCACTTCCTCGAAATACATGATGAAGCTCCACTAGGACGTCATAATGACAAATACTTAATTATCTTAATTATAACAGATAACAGGTAAAGTTAAATATGTATGTCAAACAATTTTAACACTGTCTCATTTTCCATTATATCTTGAGTCAATATGATAACATTTTCTAAGATGTCATGGAATTAACTGAAAGGATTCATGTTAAGACATTACTGTGTCTTTCCTTCTTCCTCATGCCACTTGATTCCCCATGCATTCTACTGAATAACAATGCCATCTGGAAGGTTGGCTGAGGCAGGCAGGCACACAAGAAGGAAGAATTAAAAACAGGTTTATACATGCTGAAGAATAGGCATGCAGACAGGCATAGGGACTAAGGCAAGCAGATTCATATATGTGAGATTCATCAGGCTACTGTCACTTCAAGGAAAAATCCGTTGACATAACTAAGATATGTTACCAAAAACTCAACATCTAACAAGAGGAAATTATGTCTAAAAGAACACAACAACTAAGATAAATCCTGCAGAAGGGATTGCTGATATACATGTTACCTCCTAAATGGTGGTAATGTGTGGCGGCATCATTTCCACTCTCGCCAGGACCACTTATGTCTCTGTAACATACCCAGCAGTAGTTCAACTTTCAACAACACTCTTAGCCACATTCCACTCAGGTCTCAATTGTCACATTTCCGCTGACTTCTATTGATGGTGACACAGGGCTACCAAAATCAGCAACTTCCCACGCTATCTAAGTCTCCAGAATATGGCCTGAAGGACAACAAATTGACTTGATCACAGAAATATAACTTGAAGCTCAACTAAAACATAAGAATGACAAATATTGATTACCTGAACTGAGAGAGAAAACACTGTTGATCAAATATGTAAGTCAAACACTACACATAAGTCATCACATTCAATTACAAATTAAATAAACTACATCACATTTTCTTACCTTACATCTTTTTCATTCCCGCTACAGCCCCAGTGAGCCTAGACCTACCTCCATCAACTTCTCATTTAACTCATTATTTATCCCAACCGTCTTACAGTGCATACATTTTGTTCACCTTACTCTTCTCTCTTGCAATATATGTTTCAGCACAAAAGTGCCATCTTCAGGTGCTTTTCGATGTACATCAAACTACTTCATTGCATGCCCTGTTGTCTTTATACTAAAATATATTGTGACATGTTGCGCAACGGAGGACCCCTACATCCCCAGCGGCACGTGGCGGTAACGTAGTGCTCGCGTAATAGGCGATTCATCACCCCGGCACTATCCCCGCGGTGACGTGCCGAGCGGAGCCGAAGTTAGCAGAGTCTCCGCAACCTGGTAAATATGCAACGCGACTCAACAGCGGTGACGTCACCAAGGGATATCGCAGTTCCTAGGCAGCAGTCAACAACTCCGGACAGCGTTGCTAGCAACACGGCACCAGACGACAATGGTCCGGAACGAGGCTACATAAGGAGCAGCGAAGGCTATTCACAGTTAGCTCCGAGCAAGCCTACGAGCGAGTGTGTTATCAACAGTTCTCCAGTCAGCAGCCTACAGTTAGAGTATAGCAGCCGGCGCGGAAAGAAGAACCGGACGTGTGTAATTGTGTAATTGGGAGTGTGTGATACAGTGATACATAGCTCCCCTACTGTAAACGTGTAGTCTACTGAAGAGAGTGAACCGATTTGCGCATAGGGTTGTAAATCGTGAAACCCCGCAACAATGTAAACAGATTAATGCGATTAGGGTTATAAAGTGTGAAACCCCGCAACTGTGTAATAATTAATTGTAGCCGTTACTCGTAGGTTGTTAAATAAACCAATTAACGATCTCTACGGCGTATTCAGTAACGAAACACATGACAAACTGGTGTCAGAAGTGGGATTGGGACGTACACATCCGACCTACAAGAGTCCAACTCAACATGTTACAATATATTCGTCATATATGTTGACAAATTTTAAATATTAAAAATATTAAAACTGTTCAGGATTTGTCATCCTTATGTCGTATCTCAATACGCGAGTCACACCTATCTTCTTCTATCGGAGTGTTCTTCCCACTTTCATGTGTGTATTGTGCTTTGTGTTGTGTCTTGCTCCTGTGACTGCGTTTGTTATATGCAGTCACACGAGTTATACGAGTATAACACACGCAGTCACAGGAGCAAGACACAACACAAAGCACAATACATACACGAAAGTATGAGGAATACTCCGATAGAAGAAGATAGGTGTGACTCGCGTATTGAGATACGACATAAGGATGACAAATCCTGAAGTTTTAATATTTTTAATATTTAAAATTTATCAATATATATGACGAATATATATTTTAGTATAAAGACAACAGGGCATGCAATGAAGTAGTTTGACGTACATCGAAAAGAACCTGAAGATGGCACTTTTGTGCTGAAAAATGTAGTGCAAGAGAGAAGAGTAAGGTGAATAAATGTATGCACTGTAAGCTGGTTGGAATAAATCATGGACATGAATCAGTGCAACAGGACGCTAAAATATAACATTCTCATTTAACCTCGGTTTTTCTAGATCTTACACATTCGGAACGACTCCTTTGACGGGTGGTCAGCTTGTACAAAAACAAAGATAAAAGCACAAGACCAAAATAAACATATATGCCTTGCATGGGATTCCAACCGATGATTGCGATTTCCAAGCGAGGAAACACAGTATATGTCTCAGACCGCTCGGCTACTCTGACGGCTCGCTATCTTAGATTACTAAGTGAAAAATTTCATGCTAACAAATAGTGAACATTTTTATTTCCTGTGGCCTATGAAACCCCATGCTTACAAACTAAGAATAATGATACCCGCATGGATGGCAAACTAGGAAGGCAATCAGGCAGGCTCAAAAAAGAAGCCACAAGCAGGATGAAACAGAGAGGCATAGATCACTTGAAGAAATAAAACTTTTTCAACACAACAACATGCACCTTAAAACCAGAATTTAATAGGTTGAAAATAAGTCTGAAAGCAGAGATCAACTAATATAAATCTTACAAAGTACTCTCCTGCTGTACAATTTACCTCAAAATTCATGGTATGGTGTGGCAGTTCCATTTCCACTGTCATTAAGACATACTTGTGATATGCAAAGTGAGCACTACTAGATACATTTTCCTCAAATCTGTAGAAACACGACATATCACTGAAGCTTTTGCGTGTCCATTGTCAGATTTTTTCATTGCAACTCAGTTCATAAAAGGGTGACGCAAAGCACCCAAAGCAGCAAATTCTTTGGAGGTTTTCTAATTCTCCTAAATTTTACCTAAGGAAAAAATTAACATCTAACTTCCTAGAAATATACGATGAAACTCCAACAGGACATCATAATTACAAATACTTCATTATCTTAATTATAACAGAGAACAGTTAAAGTTAAATATGTAATTCAAACAATTATACAGTGCCTCAATTCCCATTACAACTTGAGAAAATATTGTCGACATGTTACAATATGATCACATTTTCTTATACATCACATCATAACTGAAAGAATTCATGTTAAGTCAATACTGTGTCTTTCCTTCTTCCTCATGCCAATGGAGGCCGCATGCATTCTAGTTAAGAACAATACCAGCTAGAAGGTGGGCTGAGGGAGGCAGGAAACAAGAAGAATAAAAAAGCAGGTTAATACATACTGAACAATAAGCATGCACAAAGGCATCGAGACTAAGGCAAGCACATGCAGATACCTGAGACTCATCAGGTGACTCTCGCTTGAAGGAAGATACCGTTGACATAACTAAGATATTGTGACATGCCAAGCTATGGATGACGCCCCTCCCCCCCGCCAGCCGTGATGCGCCGAGCGAAGCCGAAGCGAGCCGATGTTAGCCGAGTCCTAGCATCCTGGTCGCTAGGCAACGCAAGTCAACAGCGGTGACGTCACCAAGTAGTAACGGCGGTTACTTCCGGACAGCGTTACATAGCAACACAGCGCCAGGCAACAAGGGTGCATATTACGTGGCCGGATTCTGTATTGTCCGATCGAGGCTACATCAGGAGCAGCGAAGGCTATTCACAGTCAGTTGTACTGTGACAGTCAGCCAGTCAGTGCGTTACCAACGAGTTCTCAGTTCGCAAGTTACGAGCTACAGACGCGTGTGCGATAACCAGGGATCACCAGTTATATTCGGAGTGTGTAATTCAGGGAGACTTGTATAGCTCCCGCGTTATTAGTACGCGAAGACAAGTGAAGATCGTGTTAAGAGACTTTGTTGTAGGGTTTGTAAAGTGTGGAAACCCGTGATATTGTGATAATTAATTGTAGCCGTTATTTGTAGATTGTTAAATAAACCCAATTAACCATCTCTACGGCGTCTTCGGTAACGAAACACGTTACAATATGTAAACAAAAATTCAACAAGTAACACGTGCACACAACTACTAAGATAACTCACGCAGAAGGGATTCCTGATGTACGTCACCTTGTAAATGGTGGTATGGTATGGCGGTATCATTCCCACCAACACCAGGACCCATTATGTCTCTGTAACATACCCAGTAGCTGAACAATTCTCAACAACACTCTTCACCACATTCCATTGATGTTTCCCTCCTCATTCAGTCTGACTTGTCACATTGCCG